TTATAACAAAGTCAATGAAAGTCAGCCGTTGATGTTTCGGTCACTGTGTGTGTGTGTGTGTGTGTGTGTGTGGTGAGTTGTGTGTGTGTGTGTGTGTGTGTGATGTTGTGTCGAGTTTGTGTGTAGTGTGTGATGTGGTGGTGAGTGCGTGTGTGTGAGGTGTGTGTGTGTGTGTGTTTTGTTTTTATGTCATTGAGGTTGTCCGTGTTTACCGCTCATCCCGAAAGGGTGTTTTACTTATGTACCTGTGTGGATAGTTTTCACAGGTGTGTGTTTTGTCTGTAGACAGATAAAACTGCCTTTCAGTGTGTGTGTGTTGTGTGTGTGTGTGTGGGTGTGTGTGTGTGTGTGTTGTGTGTGTGTGTGTGTGTGTGTGTGTGTGTGTGTGTGTGTGTGTGTGTGAATTCATTAAAGGCACTGTTAGTCCTCAGAGACGAGCTCTGCTAAAACGCCTGCAGGCTTAAATCCATCGAGCTTTCACTTTTGTGGCCCATAGTCGCTTTCTCTCTCTTTATTTTCCCATTGTATTTGAATGCCATCACGATCGTCTCTCACCAGAACGTTCTGTGTCTTCTCTTTCCTGTCGTCTTCTTCGTTGGTAATTCTCACTCTTTATGCTCTATCTGTCACAAAGTCCTTTCTCTTTTTTCTACTTTCCCCCCCGTGTTTTACCCAAACAAAACGTGACTCCCCTTTGTCCTCACGCTCTCTGAAAAAGGGGAAGATCTCCTTTTACATTTTTAAAGACTTTCTCCCTTGTGTCCTTCTTCGTGTCCTTCCTCTCTCCCTGGAAACCAAAGTGGAAAATCTCCTCGTTAAAGCAGAGCGCATTCTCTTCTGTAATGTCTTCTTTTTCCTCTGTTTTCTTGCTTTCATTGTGAACAGGTAAGTCATATTTATTCCTTCTCTCTCCTAACCGTCTATTTCCTGTTTTTTCTTACTTTTGCTCATATTTATTCCAACATTTCGGACCCAAACTTAAAACTGCGTGGCTGAAAAGCTCGTCGAATCCTTTTTTTAAGGCTGTGTGAGGTTTTATATGGAAACTACTTATTTTTACAGGTCTCCAGTTCCCGGATACTTCCCGGATACTTCCCGGATACTTCCCAGATACTTCCCGGATACTTCCCGGATACTTCCCAGATACTTCCCGGATACTTCCCGGATACTTCCCGGATACTTCCCGGATACTTCCCAGATACTTCCCGGATACTTCCCGGATACTTCCCGGATACTTCCCAAAGCAAGATGTTTTCCAGCATCTTCAAGAAACCTAAATTACCTTAAATCTTAGCAAGTGCATGTTTGCTTAAGCAACTATTAATTATCCTTTCAGTAGAAAGTAGCACAAATGCTGTTGGGTGAGGTCTCCATTGTTTCTCACCTGACTGATACCCACTAACCCTCTCTTATTAGTCTGCTTACAAGGTGAAACCTGGTATTTTGAACGCATCACCCCTCCACAGAAGTCAATGGAAATGATTGGACTTATCCATTGGACGCATTTCCAAAGTGTAAGTCATGTTACTTGATGGCAGAAAAACAAATAGGTTGTTTTTTTATGCTTCATTGGCTTTTATCGTAAAGTACATTTCCCCTTCTTTGGAATCAAACAATATCTATTTGTCTCCAACTCGAGACAAGTATTCTTTCTAAGTCTGTATCCCTTCATTTCTTTTCTTCTGTGTCCTCACATATCCTCTGTTTTTCGCAAGTATTTCCTTATTTTCTGTCCAGAAAGACCAGCACCTGATGTCTGTATTTCTCCACCTTACACAACGTTTTTCTCTTACCTGTTTCTCATTCTTTTCTTGCCTCTTTCTATTCGTCTCTCCTTCAGACGATGAGCATTCAGTCCTCTATCTGCAAATCACTCGTTCCCATTTCTCTGCCTTTCTTTAAAAAAAAAAAAATCTCTTTTGCCAAGTATTTCTCTGCCTTTAAATCGCTCCTTCTAGGTTGCCTCCCTTTCTTTGTGAGAAGGCAACTTCACCCTCTATCTGTGGCTTTTCTCTTTCTCTGTGTTCTCGCAGTGGAAACGAGGACAGATTGACTTTGAGATCTGACCCGAGCTAAGACGGCTGTCAGCAGGTAATGATAGAGACTTAGAGAGCGACGCCTTTTTCACAGAGAGGGATCACGCCTCGTCCTCCACTTAAAAAGAAGCCTTTTAAAATGTAGATCCCTGTAGCGAGAACAGGCTATCCTTCTAAAATACACCTTGATCGATTCCCTTAACTATCCGACTCCAGCAGCAGCGGGGGAACGGAGTCAGACGTGGAAATAAATCCCAGAAAGAAATCAGAGCCCGCAGAGACAGAAAAGGGCTTTCTTCTCTCCTGAAATTCTGCGTTTGTTGGACAACAACATAGAGTTTTCTTTGGGAAATTCAGACAATTCAAGACATAACTATGACCGAATTTTGCAATAACAACTTTATGTGAACATGGGAACTTTTCAGACAGGAAGCCGTTTCCAATTTCAGTTTTTAAGCCTTGAAAAGTGTATGTACCGGCGGCTAAACTTGAATGATGTTGGTAGATGAGTATTCAGTACAGAATGGTGCTGATTGGTCAAACAAAAGCCTTACATCAGTTAAAGTTTTCTTTCTGACCTTCTATCAGGCAGTTCTTTGTTATTTGAGAATGACAAGACCCTGATGACTTCTTGTCGCTGTGCTAACTTGATTTTATTCACGCGGTTAGCACCACAAGTTTATGAAGCAAGACTTATTCAGATGTTCTGGGGAGTTTTTAGGTCAGAATTGAACAATTGGGGCGTATTAATTTCAATGCTAAACCTCTGTGATTATTCTCTTCTGAACTAGCTAAATACACGGAGTGTGGGGTAGAGTTCTTCAGAATTGACGTGGGCAACTCTACCGTGAAGTCAGAACCTCTGGCTCTTTGACTTGTTTTGTGAATTCTCCGGCCGAGGCTCCTAAATAAACCCATCAGTGTTTGCCATCAAAGCTCCAGCTCTCCCCGTGTCTCTCTGAGTCCTGACTCCAATTGCTTCAGAAGTTTCCCCCACAATAACTACTCTCAGCTTCATGGACACGGTAGGCCAACACTACTGCATAGTGACAAAAAATCTCAAAGAACAAAAGACGGAAGAATGAAAATGGCCCAAATATTTAAACCTTGAAGAAGGATTTCATCTTGAGCAAAAGATCTGCAGGTAGATCAAGCTGAGGTGAGAGGGGAACACGTTTACTTTCTAAAGGAAGAATAAAGAGGAGAACGAGTGGGTGGTTTGAAAATAGTCTCTTTGTTCTAATGTCCAAACGATCAGTCTGAGAAGTCAGATACAGTACTTCAACGGACTAAATGAGATGCTGATCTGAAATGATCTTCCAGAAGATACCTAACCCATACAGACGCAACAAGAATAGAGACACCTGCTTAATGTCCAAACCAAAGCCTTCCTGAAACACATCACTGACACAAAACAAACCAAATTTGGCATTATCCAATTATACAGAAAGCTGCTGAAGAAGTTGAGAATCATTGACTCTGAAATCAGCTTCCACACAATCAGCAGCGAGTTCATGAAGTCGCCCTGCAGAAAGACGATTTCAGAACAATCTGAGGGAATGATGAGAAAAAAAAGACCTCCAGCGTCACTTTTCTGAAAGCCCCCCCTTTCTGAGAGGAAATTAATTCTGAAAGAGGAGGAATAGAAGGAGCAGCCGGGGTGAGCGGAGGTTCTGCATTAGACTACGCTCGACTAAAACCAAGTCATTTAAACGTCTGGCGGCCTGACCTCAGAGCGACAGAGACGAATAATCCCCTCCATATTTCACTTCCTTTTTTCCTCCCCGTGTTTTACACATCCTAACCTCCTCCTCCTCGCTCCGTTTGACCCCGCCGGGCCACCGTAGAGTCACTTCCTGATTGCCACTCTGGATGTTCAGAGCTCAGGAACTTTTGGGGAAGGTAATTGAAAAAGTTTTAGGGAGCTTTATGGTTTCCTTTTATTCTGGGGAGGTGTGTGACTTTTTTGGTTATGTCAGGTCTAATGGTAGCAGTGCCAGCAGACAGAACTTGAACTGTTTGGATATTTAGCATGAAATAGAAGAAGTATTATTCTTATTTGTTTGCAAAAAATGTGCCTAAATATCACAAAAGCTGGCAATACTTTTAGCAAAGCAATTTTCCAGGTTCTGCTCTCTGACGATGATAAAAAAAAACGACCAGATACAACTAAAGACACAGAACCTTTTTGGAAATAACTCAAATTTATGTTGCTAAAAGTAATTGGCAGTATGTATATATCAAGCATGAAATACAGCAAATGTTACGCTCATATGGTCGCCTAAATTGCGAGCTAAATATCCAAACGTTGCCAATATATTTAGCAAAATATATTTCGAGTTCTACCAGAAAACCTGAGAAAACTAAGGAGACGTACCTTTTCCCCAGAACTCTGAATGGTTTTGCTATAAGCATTAGAGAAGTTTGGATATTAAGCATGAAACAACACAAGTACTACACTCATTTGTTTGCATAAAGCACATGCTAAATATCAAATATTTTGGCAATACCTTTAGCAAAACTATTTCCAGTTCTGCCCGCTGACAACATTTGTCTATTGAACATGAAACACAACAAGTAATACCCCTTTTTGTTTGCTGAATAGCCAAACATTGCCAAGACAAAAACTATTTCTAGTTCTACCGTAAAAACCAGAAACAGGAATTTGGGCAGAATTTGAATTTGTTTTAAAAATGATTGGCAACATTAGGATATTTGTCATGAAACGCAACAAGGATTACACTCATTTGTTTACATAAAGCACATGCTAAATATCCAAACTTTGCCAATACTTTTAGCAAAAACTATTTCCAGTTCTGCCCATGCGTCTATAACACCTGACAAAACGAATGAGAGAAAACTTTTGTCCAGATTTCAAAGTTGTCTTGCAGTTACTGAGATTCCGTTGTTATATGTTGATTAATCCAATCAGAGCAGAGTATTCAGTCATGTGACAGTACTCACGGTCCAGATGACACTCTCTGATTCCCTCCACGTCCTCAGCATGAATTAACTGGTAACACCTTTTCCCCACAATGTCCACTGCAGTCAGGTCCATGTAGTCGCTGATCCTGAAACACAACGCACAATATCTACATTAATACACACGGAAAAGTGAATAATACAAAATAACTGCAATAGTTTATATTATATATATAATTAACAGAACCCAGATGTTTTAGTTTCTCTTTATTTATCTAGTTTATTCAAATTAAATTCTGAGTGCCTGACATTCAATGACAGAGCAGGTCTTGCGTTTTTGCTCCATGAAAACACACAATAACTCACACCAGTGTTGATCTTTTGTAGAAAGCTTCTCCAAAAGAAAGACTATGAAACTTAACTGTAGTTCATCCAGAGGGATTACAAAATAAACTCTAAGAAAAGCTTTTAAAATATAATTGAATATAGAGAGATGCTATTGTATTTGCACCCGGGTGTCTGTAGCTAACGGGTGTCTGTAGCTAAAGATGCTATTTACACCCGAGTGTCCGTAGCTAAAGATGCTATTTGCACCTGGGTGTCAGTAGCTAAAGATGCTATTTACACCCGGGTGTCAGTAGCTAAAGATGCTATTTGCACCCGGGTGTCAGTAGCTAAAGATGCTATTTGCACCCGGGTGTCCGTAGCTAAAGATGCTATTTGCACGCGATGTCCGTAGCTAAAGATGCTATTTGCACCCAGGTGTCAGTAGCTAAAGATGTTATTTGCACCCGGGTGTCAGTAGCTAAAGATGCTATTTGCACCCGTGTGTCCGTAGCTAAAGATGCTATTTGCACCCAGGTGTCCGTAGCTAAAGATGCTATTTGCACCCGGGTGTCCGTAGCTAAAGATGCTATTTGCACCCAGGTGTCCGTAGCTAAAGATGCTATTTGCACCCGGGTGTCCGTAGCTAAAGATGCTATTTGCACCCGGGTGTCAGTAGCTAAAGATGCTATTTGCACCCAGGTGTCCGTAGCTAAAGATGCTATTTGCACCCGGGTGTCCGTAGCTAAAGATGCTATTTGCACCCGGGTGTCAGTAGCTAAAGATGCTATTTGCACCCGGGTGTCAGTAGCTAAAGATGCTATTTACACCCGGTGTCCGTAGCTAAAGATGCTATTTGCACCCAGGTGTCCGTAGCTAAAGATGCTATTTGCACCCAGGTGTCCGTAGCTAAAGATGCTATTTGCACCCAGGTGTCAGTAGCTAAAGATGCTATTTGCACCCGATGTCCGTAGCTAAAGATGCTATTTGCACCCGGGTGTCCGTAGCTAAAGATGCTATTTGCACCCCGGGTCTCCGTAGCTAAAGATGCTATTTGCACCCAGGTGTCAGTAGCTAAAGATGTTATTTGCACCCGGGTGTCAGTAGCTAAAGATGCTATTTGCACCCGGGTGTCAGTAGCTAAAGATGCTATTTGCACCCGGGTGTCCGTAGCTAAAGATGCTATTTGCACCCGGGTGTCCGTAGCTAAAGATGCTATTTGCACCCGATGTCCGTAGCTAAAGATGCTATTTGCACCCGGGTGTCCGTAGCTAAAGATGCTATTTGCACCCGGGTGTCCGTAGCTAAAGATGCTATTTGCACCCGGGTGTCAGTAGCTAAAAGATGCTATTTGCACCCGGGTGTCAGTAGCTAAAGATGCTATTTGCACCCGGGTGTCCGTAGCTAAAGATGCTATTTGCACCCGGGTGTCAGTAGCTAAAGATGCTATTTGCACCCAGGTGTCCGTAGCTAAAGATGCTATTTGCACCCGGGTGTCCGTAGCTAAAGATGCTATTTGCACCCGGGTGTCAGTAGCTAAAGATGCTATTTGCACCCGGGTGTCCGTAGCTAAAGATGCTATTTGCACCCGTGTGTCAGTAGCTAAAGATGCTATTTACACCCGGGTGTCCGTAACTAAAGATGCTATTTGCACCCAGGTGTCCGTAGCTAAAGATGCTATTTGCACCCAGGTGTCCGTAGCTAAAGATGCTATTTGCACCCAGGTGTCCATAGATCAATGTGACTACAGGCTACATCTTTATACTGTACATACAACCCAGTCTCACGCCATTTCGTGTTATAGTCACGAAATTAATTTAATCTATTGATTCGTGTTCACCAACACGATTTTCGCATTTTTTTCGTGTCACACAGAACGATTTTAAATGCAATGTATTTCTATTGGTAGTATGTTTCGTGCCTGCACCACGTCTTTTTGTCCGGTCGGGTCTTGGAAGACCAGAAGCTGTGTGGTTCAAAACAGTGTCTTACTCAATATCTTACCCTAAGCCTAACCCTATCCCTTTTATTTTAAATTGTATAATGTCTGAGTTTTTTTGCCGTCCGCGAGGAAAAGAAATGGCTCAGAGCCTCAGAATACTGACATCTGTATTTTATGTCATCTTTTTTTCCTTCTAATTTGTTATTATTTGGTGCAGGCACGAAACATACTACCAATAGAAATGCATTGCTTCTAAAATCGTTCTGTGTCAGAATACTGAAATCTGTATTTTTTTAAATCTGTTTTTCCTTCTAATTTGTTATTATTTACATTGCTTTTAAAATCGTTCTGTGTGACACGAAAAAAATGGGAAAATCGTGTTGGTGAACACGAATCAATAGATTAATTTCGTGACTATAACACGAAATGCCGTGAGACTGTGTTGGTACATAGGATGGGTTGAAAATGAAGGCAAAAACTGCTGCAGACCACGATTTTATGAATATATGTAGGCTAATATGCTTTTTGTGTAGCTGTTTTTTGTACTGGACGAGCTCCTGTGCAAAGTCAAAATGTTGTGAATCTTTGAAATATTACACTTGTCACCCCAGGACAGTTTTCCCTCTCTCTCTCTCTCTCTGGTACTCAACGATTAAGAAGACAGATTCAGGGAAGAAGAAGAAGAAGCTAATAACTCAACAGCAGACATTGAAGCCCCTCTGTCTATTGTACAAGGTAACACACATTAGCTTTAAAAAGGTTTAATTTGAACAAATTCGCCACAGGATAGACGAACAATTTCCCCCGCTATCATTCTGTGGGGTTTCTGGGGGAGACTAATGTCTGGCAGGCAGATAACAGCACACTCTGTTCTTTATAAAAAAAACATCCTCCCATTTTCTCATTCTCTTAGAAACTCAAAATGGGGCTGTAATGGGAGCTTGTCTGTTCTGCGCCGAGATGCTTTTCTGTTGAATATCATCATCTGCCTTGCATTGTGTCCCTTTTTCCAGCCAACAAAAAAGCAATCATTTTTCTTCCTTCTCTCTTTTTATAATAAAACATGAAGGTTTTTTTTTCTTTTCCCGCCTGATATGAATCTGCGGCGGTCGGACGGTTAACTCCTGAGAGATCCTGATGCCTATCTGCTTTATCTGGACAGAGAGAAGGAGCTAGATCCATCAGCAGCACATTTCACTGTTAAACCAGCCAGGATTGGGTCAGACGTCCTCATGAATAAGAAGCTCCGACAAGAAAGGCGAGTCCTTTTTCTCCCCAGAACGGCAAGAATGAAGCAGGAATACAGAAACGGTGGAATTGAGTTTCATGTTTGACACTGATGCTCAAAAACGGGATATTGAAGACCGGTTTCTTGTCACAAATATATGTAAAAGACATGAACGCATTTCAGGGATGCATCAGAAGAAAAGATAATTTTGTATAGTTTGCAGAAAGACATGGGGACTTTTTTACGTCTTTTTTAAATAGATTTTATACAAGATCCAAGATGTGGGAAGATGTGTTTGTTTCCTTTATTTATTTATTATAAAGAAAAATGAAAATGAAAACTTGCTTTATGAGCTCTAACATATTTCAACATTTCTCAAATTTATTATACAAATATTTTTATATAAATAATTTTAACAAAGATCACGTGAAAAGCATAAAGTTCTCTTATATATGAGAATGAGCGAAATCTTTCTTCAGATTTAAAGGTGCTTTTGTGGAAAGATATCTTTAATTATTTAAATAAGCTGTGAAGCCCAATAGAGTGCCACAGTGACGCGTCCTAAAACCCGGAAGTAAGCTGCGCATGGGTTCCTATCATAAATCTATCGATTAGATTTACGATTAGAAAATTATAAATGTAGGGTAGACATGTGGATATTATCCGACTGAACAAAACGTGATCCATGTGTTTCAACCACAGACCTTATTTCAAGCTATTTTCCAAAATCCTATGGAGAATGCATTGCTTTTTTGTCAAAGGAACCCATGCGCAGCTTACTTCCGGGTTTTAGGACGCGTCACTGTGGCACTCTATAGAAAGACTAGCAAACTTAACCGTAGTTTTTCAGAGAGATTACAAATAAAAAACTCTGAAAACAGATGCTATTTGCACCCGGGTGTTCGTAGCCAACGATGCTATTTGCATATGTTATACTCTATATCAGGGTACTAGTCGAGGGCCGGACTGGTTCAATGTTTATTGCAGAACTTATTGAAATGAACTTATTGCACATATTAAACCTGGAACTAACAAAGCTTCAATGATTGCCTATAAAAACAACATGAAACATTAAATAATCAGTAGCATTCATTTCTTATGGCTCCATCTGCAGCTTCTCCAGAGTCATTTCTTATGAGTACATTTCTCCACAGGCCAACAACAGCTTCAACAAAACTATTTCCCTCAAAGAACAAACCAAACATGCCCTGTTGACGTGAGAGAAAAAGTGCAGAAGGAAACATGTAAACTCAGTGTGCTGCTCTGTGATGCTAGCTCAGATACTTGGCATCTCATCTTGGGTGCAAGGTCATCAATGTTTGGGCTCAGGCTCTGAGCTGAGGAGACCCTCAGGATGGAGTGAAGGTGTGCGTGCAATATACCGGAGGGCCAGATCTAATAGAAAATATCCTGCGGGCCGAAATTAAATCCACCACGGGCCTGATTTGGCCCCCGGGCCTTGAGTTTGACACATGTGCTCTATATGATATAAGATCACGTGAAAAGCATAAAGTTTCAAGATCATGAAAAAAAAAAAGCAAGAAAGATATCTTTAGTTATTTAAATAAGCTGTGAAACTTCAGAAAAACGTCCCAATTTCCAAGCAATGATCAGCCAGAAAAACCAATAAAAAAGCGAAATATGCCTAAAACCACAAACATTGAGATTTCACTCAGAGTTGTTTTGTCCTCTTTGGCTTTCCGTAGTCCCCCCTCCTACCTGTTCTCGCAGTAGATGATCTTCAGGTCGAGGTTGACTCGGGTGACGAACATCTGACAGTCGATTCGCACCTCGTTGATGGTGGGGGGGGGCAGAGCGTGGGCCACCACCACCAACCCCAAAATCTGAACCGGCACCGAGCGACTGTGCGTCAACGCCATCCTGATCCGGAGACGCCCCGTCACGTGGATCACCTGATAGGTAAAGAACATACAGGGAAAACAGTATTACATTAAATCAAGTTTTATTGATACGGTCCAATAATAATGTTCTTTATCCCGTGTCAGGTGTGCGTGTCAGTGTTGTCACAAAGCAGGAATGTCTTACTTCTTACTGTTACTGATGAGTGATTTTTCACAAGTCTCGAAAGAAGAATCTAGGGTCTAGAAACAGAGTAAGCTGCTCCTAAAGTCCATGTCACAACTCAAGTCCATACACACTGATACCACCTGTACTGACTGCTCGAGGGACGGCTTCTCAAAGTGTAAACAATCAGATTAAGGTGCCTTGCTCAAGGGCAACTCTACAGCGAGTCACTGAGGAGGAGGAGGAGGAGGAGGAGGAGGAGGAGGAGGAGGCTTCTTACCCCTCTGGGTTCGGCTTTAAAACTACTAACTGTAGTGTTGTGTGTGTGTGTGTGTGTGTGTGTGTGTGTGTGTGTGTGTGTGTGTGTGTGTGTGTGTGTGTGTGTGTGTGTGTGTGTGTGTGTGTGTGTAGTAATATATGCATGCGTGTGGATGAATATTTATGTGCGTCTCTGCCTCCGCTGTGATTTGCATGATCTGAGTCTGCCAGGTGGAACATGGTTTACGACACACACACACATAAACACACACACACACACACACACACACACACACACACACACACACACACACACAAACATAAACACACACACACACACACACACACACACAACACACACACACACACACAAACACACAAACCTAAACACACACACACACACACACACAAACATAAAAACACACACACACACACACACACACACACAAACCTAAACACATGCGCGCACATGAGCACACACACTCTAGTTTTTATTTGCCTTAACGACACAATAAAAGCACTTCCTGATTCTTTTAAAGTGTTGTCATTTTGTTAATTTAGGTCAAAAATATATTTTTTTGTATCTGAAAGCTCTGTCGTTTTGTCATCTATAGATCAAATATATAACACATGTAATATCGTTACAACATCTTCAAGATTTCTCTCGACTGTCCGAGGTCATCCTTGAAGAAAATCTAGTGTATTAGTGTTGGATGAACCATAAGAGACCACACACACATTCACCACAGGAGAGAGGAGCCTCTCTAATCCCAACTCACAATCTAGATGGTAACACACACATTCCTATAGCACTGAGATCTGTACATGGAGCACACACACACACACACACACACACACACACACACACACACACACACACACACACACACACACACACACACACACACACACACACACACACACACACACACACACACACACAGAGGATCAGAGTTTACATGCTGAGTCTCCCTTACACTGTGGGATTATGTGATCCGACCAACATACATATCCGGTGTGTGTGTGTGTGTGTGTGTGTGTGTGTGTGTGTGGTGTGTGTGTGTGCGTGTGTGTGTGTGTGTGTGTGTGGGTGTGTGTGTGCGTGTGTGTGTGTGTGTGCGTGTGTGTGTGTGTGTGTGTGTGGGTGTGTGTGTGCGTGTGTGTGTGTGTGTGTGTGTGTGTGTGTGTGTGTGTGTGGGTGTGTGTGTGTGTGTGTGTGTGTGTGATCTCCTTGAAGACAGAAGAATATATTATCAATGACTGGCTTATCAGTCATCAAATGAAGTGATCCATATGGAAATGCTTAATCCTACCGTAGACAACTAGGTGTGTGTGAGTGTGTGTGTGCGTGTGTGTGTGAGTGTGTGTGTGCGTGCGTGTGTGTGTGTGTGTGTGTGTGTGTGTGTGTGTGTGTGTGTGTGTGTGTGTGGTCACTCTGCAGCCAAGGTTCTTGGTTTTTGTATTTGATCCAGTTACACTGTGACATACCTATAGACAGTCTGTTCAGTTATGCTTATAGTAGAGGATCAGTGAAGTCATGGACAACAGTCTGGATCACTTTATAATAACCTTCATCCTCTGACCTTGAATCCTGAGGACTTGATGTGCACTCCTCTCTTTGTGAGCGTGGACTTCATCCTGATGAAGAACGATCGCTCCAGATGTTTGTCGGGGGCCAGGAGAGAGGGACTGCTGGACTCCACTGAGGAACAAACACACACACACACACACACACACACACACACACACACACACACACACACACACACACACACACACACACACACGTTTAACACTTGCATATGTTTTTCACTTCATAGACACACTCAAGACCAAGACAGTTTTTTTACCGCGCTGTTCTTCGTGATGAATGAAAATAGTAGGTTTGGAGGTTATATCTCATTTTGACATATATGTATAAACACAGTCCCCAAGGTTGAAATAAAGTGATTTAAACGCTGTAAAACAAATAAATACATTTCTTCTGTCAGCACCTGTCGGCCAATCCCAGCCGCTGTCAAACTGACAATCATCTCAAAGCACATCATAGTAATCAAACATCGAAATGTCAAAACACGTCAGGAGCAAGACGAGAGAAAAACAAGACCAACAAACAGGTGAGTTAAAGGGGCTCTGATCATCTTCAGGTGTATATCAGTATGTAGTGTCTCTACTTTAAAGAGTCCTCTCCTGCTGATGTTCAGGTGTATATCAGTATGTAGTGTCTCTACTTTAAAGAGTCCTCTCCTGCTGATGTTCAGGTGTATATCAGTGTGTAGTGTCTCTACTTTAAAGAGGTCCCTCTCCTGCTGATGTTCAGGTGTATATCAGTATGTAGTGTCTCTACTTTAAAGAGTCCTCTCCTGCTGATGTTCAGGTGTATATCAGTATGTAGTGTCTCTACTTTAAAGAGTCCCTCTCCTGCTGATGTTCAGGTGTATATCAGTATGTAGTGTCTCTACTTTAAAGAGTCCTCTCCTGCTGATGTTCAGGTGTATATCAGTATGTAGTGTCTCTACTTTAAAGAGTCCTCTCCTGCTGATGTTCAGGTGTATATCAGTATGTAGTGTCTCTACTTTAAAGAGTCCTCTCCTGCTGATGTTCAGGTGTATATCAGTATGTAGTGTCTCTACTTTAAAGAGTCCTCTCCTGCTGATGTTCAGGTGTATATCAGTATGTAGTGTCTCTACTTTAAAGAGTCCTCTCCTGCTGATGTTCAGGTGTATATCAGTATGTAGTGTCTCTACTTTAAAGAGTCCTCTCCTGCTGATGTCAGGTGTATATCAGTATGTAGTGTCTCTACTTTAAAGAGTCCTCTCCTGCTGATGTTCAGGTGTATATCAGTATGTAGTGTCTCTACTTTAAAGAGTCCTCTCCTGCTGATGTTCAGGTGTATATCAGTATGTAGTGTCTCTACTTTAAAGAGTCCTCTCCTGCTGATGTTCAGGTGTATATCAGTATGTAGTGTCTCTACTTTAAAGAGTCCTCTCCTGCTGATGTTCAGGTGTATATCAGTATGTAGTGTCTCTACTTTAAAGAGTCCTCTCCTGCTGATGTTCAGGTGTATATCAGTATGTAGTGTCTCTACTTTAAAGAGTCCTCTCCTGCTGATGTTCAGGTGTATATCAGTATGTAGTGTCTCTACTTTAAAGAGTCCTCTCCTGCTGATGTTCAGGTGTATATCAGTATGTAGTGTCTCTACTTTAAAGAGTCCTCTCCTGCTGATGTTCAGGTGTATATCAGTATGTAGTGTCTCTACTTTAAAGAGTCCTCTCCTGCTGATGTTCAGGTGTATATCAGTATGTAGTGTCTCTACTTTAAAGAGTCCTCTCCTGCTGATGTTCAGGTGTATATCAGTATGTAGTGTCTCTACTTTAAAGAGTCCTCTCCTGCTGATGTTCAGGTGTATATCAGTATGTAGTGTCTCTACTTTAAAGAGTCCTCTCCTGCTGATGTTCAGGTGTATATCAGTATGTAGTGTCTCTACTTTTAAGAGTCCTCTCCTGCTGATGTTCAGGTGTATATCAGTATGTAGTGTCTCTACTTTAAAGAGGTCCTCTCCTGCTGATGTTCAGGTGTATATCAGTATGTAGTGTCTCTACTTTAAAGAGTCCTCTCCTGCTGATGTTCAGGTGTATATCAGTATGTAGTGTCTCTACTTTAAAGAGTCCTCTCCTGCTGATGTTCAGGTGTATATCAGTATGTAGTGTCTCTACTTTAAAGAGTCCTCTCCTGCTGATGTTCAGGTGTATATCAGTATGTAGTGTCTCTACTTTAAAGAGTCCTCTCCTGCTGATGTTCAGGTGTATATCAGTATGTAGTGTCTCTACTTTAAAGAGTCCTCTCCTGCTGATGTTCAGGTGTATATCAGTATGTAGTGTCTCTACTTTAAGAGTCCTCTCCTGCTGATGTTCAGGTGTATATCAGTATGTAGTGTCTCTACTTTAAAGAGTCCTCTCCTGCTGATGTTCAGGTGTATATCAGTAATGTAGTGGCTCCTAGCTTTAAAGAGTCCTCTCTCCTGCTGATGTTTCAGGTGTTATTAATCAGTAATGTAGTGTCTCTACTTAAAGAGTCCTCTCCTCTCTGACATGATGTTCAGGTGGTATATCAGTATGTTAAAGGTGTCTCTACTTTAAAGAGTCCTCCCTGGCTGATGTTCAAGGGTTGTATATCAAGTATGTAGTGTCTCTACTTTAAAGAGTCCTCTCCTGCTGATGTTCAGGGTGTATATCAGTGATGTAGTGTCTCTACTTTAAAGAGTCCTCTCCTGCTGATGTTCAGAGTGTATATCAGTATGTAAGTGTCTCTACCTTAAAAAGAGTCCTCTCCTGCTGATGTTCAGGTGTATATCAGTATGTAGTGTCTCTAACGTTAGAGTCCTCACTCCCTGCTGATAGTTCAGGTGTATATCAGTATGTAGTGTCTCTTACTTTAAAGATCCCTCATCCTGCTGATGTTCAGAGTGTATACTCAGTATGCTAGTGTCTTCTACTTTAAAGAGTCCTCATCCTGCTGATGTTCAGGTGTATATCAGTATGTAGTGTCTCTACTTTAAAGAGTCTCTCCTGCTGATGTTCAGGTGTATATCAGTATGTAGTGTCTCTTCATGTCTCCATGCTTTAATGTTCAAAAAGCTCTTTATTTTTCTCTGTGCTGCAGCATCTATTTTCACCCTCTGTCTGAAACCAGAGCCCAGTCTGCTCTGATTGGTTAGCTGGCTGGCTCTGTTGTGATTGGTCAACCGCTTAGAGATGTCCCGTCCCTTAGCCTATCACGTACAATCTGTTGGAGCGCTAGCCAATAGAATTGCAGGTGTTGCGTAATGACGCAGAGAAACTCCCCCTAAAAGGATAATATTCAACTTGTTTTTAATCTTCTTAGGTCAAATAAGTTATTTAAATAAGTCCATTAAAGTTATTAACAATATCAGACGTCTCTCAGATTATTGATTTAGCCCAACTGTGGCCTTTTCATCATTCAACACACTTTTCTCCCCCCCAATCCCCCCCCGACTCCCTCACTGACGAGCAGGAAGTAGAAGAAGTGGTTTCCTGAAGGTGAGACGCTCCATTTGTCAGAGACAGAGAACAACTGCATATTCATAACCTCTCCATCCATCAGAGTGATGGGAGAGGAGACAGCTGGAAAACATCTCACACACACACACACACACGCACGCACACACACACACACACACCACACACACGCACGCACACACACACACACACACGCACGCACGCACGCACGCAGCTACGCACGCACGCACGCACGCACGCACGCCACGCACGCACGCACGCACGCACGCACGCACGCACGCACGCACGCACGCACGCACGCACGCACGCACGCACGCACGCACACACACACACACACACACACACACACACACACACACACACACACACAGTATAACTTCACTTGTTAGGACTAATGCTCTCACCAACACTTAACGTTAAGGTAAATTGGAAATGTGCAATACTAACACATAACCTTTTTCTTAGTAGTTGTTGTCACGTCATATACCTACAGTCATTTACTTAAGTACATTATAGAGACAGTTGTACCTAAGTATTTCCATGTTATGCTACTTTGATTAAAATCTACTCCATTCTCAAAGCCAATATTGTGATTTTTACTCTCTCACTATTTATCTGACAGCTTTAGTTACTTTTCAGATTCAGATTATTACAAAATATAAATCTACTGATAAATAACATTTGGTTAAGATTTCCAGCATTAATAATAATAATAATACAGAAGTTCAATATATATGATTCTGAAAAGGCCATTACCCATAATGAGTACTTCAATTGTTGGTACTTTAGATATATTTGAAGCCATCACTTCTGTACTTCGATTCAAGTAAGATGTGAAATGCAGGAGTTTTTTTAGTACTGCTTATTTAACTTAAAATATCTGAGTACTTCCTCTACCCCTGGTTACTTTAGCAAATGTAACTAATAGTTTCCTTTAGTCTAAAGTGAGACTCATACTTGGTGTCGATCCATATGGTTTGATCTTGATTTGTCTTTTTGTATGTATATGTATTTTTGTGTTAGTATTGTAATTTACATATGTATACATCTATGTACTCGCGTGTTGGGAACACTGTTAGGCTGGTTGGGTTACCTCCTCTACAACTCCCCTAACACACGCACACACACACACATGCACGCACGCACGCACACACACGCACACGCACGCACGCACGCACGCACGCACGCACACGCACGCGCGCACGCACGCACGCACGCACGCACGCACACACACGCACACACCACACGCACACGCACACACACACGCACACACACACACACACACACACACACACACACGCACACACACACACACACACACACACACGCACACACACAGGTCTCTAGTGGACACAGCGGTTTGATCAGCGCTGATACATGTTGACAACGTCTAATCTAGAAAAATTGAAAGAAATGAATTAATATGCAAATTCATCCTTTATGATATAAATGTCCTTGAAGAGAGTGAGACAAGAGGAGAGGGAGGGAATAAAGAGGGGGAGAGAGAGAGAGAGGAAGGGAGGGATAATAAGAAGAGGAGGTGAGAATTAAGAGGAGGAGAGAGAGAAACATGAAAAAGGAAGAAGAAGAAAGGGCGGAGGTGGCAACAAGAGGGAGGAAGACCAAGAAGAAAGGAAACAAGTGACGGAGAGGTGAAAAAGAT